GTGGAGAGTCAGCTCCAGAACCTATTGCAGGTACCCTAATCTTGGATGTTCAAATCCTTTATGTAAAATTGCATAGTGTTTACATTTAACCTTTGCACAGCCTCTTATATATGCTAGATCATTTCCAGATTGCTTCTCAGACTTAGTGCTATGTAATGTTATGTAAGGGTTTGTTATATGATATTGACTAGGGAGTCATTATAAGAAGAAAAGTCTGAACATGTCTAGTTCAGGTGCAATTATTTTCTGAATATTTTCAATCTGCAGTTGGTGAAAACTAGGGATGGGATACATGGTGCAGAGGGCTGGCTCTATTTACTGGATGCTTCAAGGGTTGAGAAACTGAGCCCTAAGAAGAAATAAGGTCTTAGCCATGACCTTGAAGTTCCAAACCTGCCCGACAAGATAACCCTTTCATATGTCCACAAAGGCAGAAGGATAAAACTAAGGCCATTTCTCCACTATTGGATGAATTTAGAGAATTCAATCTAGGCGCTCAAACTGGGTAAAGAGGCAAGGTACATTGTCACTAAATACCAGCAGTCCTGAGAACATGATTGAGCACTTCAATGCTTCAAGAATGAGCTCATAAGCCGGGCGTTGGTGGCGCACGCCTTTAATCTCAGCACTCGGGAGGCAGAGGCAGGCAGATCTCTGTGAGTTCGAGGCCAGCCTGGTCTACAAAGCGAGTTCCAGGACAGCCTCCAAAACAATACAGAGAAACCCTGTCTCGAAAAACTAAAAAAAAAAAAAAAAAAAAGGAATGAGCTCATAGACCGCAGACTGATGGCTGAGAGACCAGCATGAGACTGATCCAGGCTCCCTGAATGTGGGTGTCAGTGAGGAGGCCTCAGCAATCTATGGGGCCTCAGGTAGTAGATCAGTGTTTACCATGGCGTACGAATGGACTTTGGGAGCCCATTCCACATGGAGGGATGCTTTCTTAGCCTGAACACATGGAGGAGGGCCTAGCCCCTGCCCTGGATGATATGACAGACTTTAGAGATCCCCCATGGAGGGCCTCACTCTCCCTGGGGGTTGGTGGGGGCAGGGGAGGAGGGGGTGAGTTAACAGGTTAGGAGGACTGCTTGTGGTGAGAGACAAGGCAAAGATTAGTGCCAGATAGGTTCATATCCTGGTACATTATATGATTTCTTCTCTTCTTCTCAAGTTTCCCACTCCCATACTAGACATGGCATTGAATTTATCATTCCCCACAAATGAGCTGCCAACGGGGCACTCTTGCTTTGAATATGGCGAACCTAACCCCAGTACTGGTGTTTTCTCTCTAAAAAGTAATGATGCCTCAGTCAGTAAAGTGTTTGCTGTCCAAGCATGAGAACCTGAGTTCAGATCCCCAGCACCCATGCAGAAAGCTGTGTGTGGTCACATACACCTGTAAGCCCAGCACTAGAGGGGTGAGACAGGTGGATTACTGGAGCTCACTGTCCAACTTGTCCAGCCAAATCGGTGATCTCTGTGTTCAGAGAAAGATCCAGTCTCCAAACGCAAGGTGGCAGGATGTAGAGAAGTGAAGTTGGAACTGAACCGGGATCCCCCATACCTACTGCCTGCCAGAAGGGGCTATGTAAGACGCAGTAAGAGAAAAGTTGCTAATAGCCCTATACAGATGGGAATCCTTCAACCCATAATACCAACCTGCCAGGCAAAATGCAATCACCAGTGCAATAGTGGCATGACTGTTGTGGGGGTAAACAACAGAGCCCTGAATAGACTTAAGCCACAGAAGAGAATTCAGACCTGGTACTATAAACCTGTTCAAAACTCATGGCTAGGGAGGGCATAGCCCTGGGGTTGGGGGAGGACTCACTCCTGTGTTTTCATAGTTTGACATCACACAATATTGCTTTCTAAACATTTATGTTTATACTCATGAATACACATGCTACTCTAAGCCTGGATTCGAGAAGCTTCTCTTTGCAGCGAATAGAGACTCTCATGGCTGCTCACTCCATGGCTGATAAGCACTCAGCCCTAAACAAATCATTTACTCAGACCCAAGGAATATCCAGAAGAGGTGGTAGACAGATTATAAGAACCAGATGATGGAGAGAATGGCCAAAATAAACTATTTACTGAGTGTGACACAATTCATGAGCTCACAGCTGCTGAGATCACCTGCAATGGGCCTGTGCAAAACTGGGGTTTTCAACAGTCATCCATGGATGGAGAAGGACTCAGAGGGCCCTACCCTTCCCTGGGGGAACCATTGGCTGTGGATGGCAACTGGGGAAGGAGAGACTGTGGCCTTCAGCTGTGTGTCCACCAGGTCCCAAGCTACAAACACAGTGATACAGGTGGCTTTGCTAAAGTCACTGGGTCACAAAACAACACAAACAGATACAACCGTAAGAAAGGGATTTTAGGGAAGAGGGGGAGGGAAGAGTGGCAGCAGGGAGATAAAGGATGGCAAGGGTGAGAGCAAACATAATCACAGCCATATACAAAATTGTCCAAACATAAATGTAATTAATTAACAAAAGGTGGGGATAGAGACTGAGGGAGATGGCAACATCAACCACTAGCCTCTACATGCACACACATGAACAATCACACACTCCAAATGTTTTAAGTATCTGAAGTAAAAAATAACAATGCACAAAAAAATGAAAGGGGGCAGGTTTTATGGATTAATGTTAAGTCCTAAAACTGAGCAAAGGGGTACACAGAACATCTATTCACTACTTTCACCACTTACCCCCCTCTGTCCGTCAGTCCATCTGTCCACCAGTCCATCAGCTGGTCACTGCTGAGACCTTAGCTGCATTCTGCACGCTGGACACCCTTGTCAGCCTTCGGCTAGAGGAATCCGATTAAGAACTGAGCCCCAGCTCTCACGGCCACATAGTCCAGACTCAGTGTTCCCCTTTGCAAAGGAGCAGTTGGTGAGACTAGCTGACTGCACTGAGTCTGCGGCATTCCAGAACATGTGCTGAGGTCTTGTCTTTGTGGACATAGTCTGCTGTGTATGTGGGTGTACTGGAGAGCCTACCAAAGACGCCAATGCACAGGATCAATCCGTCCTTCTCTCGAGTCATTTGGCTGGTCAGGTTCTTAAGGCCATGATGAACTACCTCCCTGAGGACCTGGCACAGATGTACTCCAGTGTCAGTGCTCACTAGTTTTCATTCTTGCTTTCCCGGGGGCCTCCCTCAAAACATCCGTTAGGGAAGATGCACTTGTGTCCTCCAGCACTCCTGCCATCTTGGGTGTAGCTTTGCTCAGCCATGCTGCTTTTCTGATGAGCTAGAACAATAGCTCATGGGAGAAGCCCTCCAGAGTGCCAGCAGCTACGTCCCCTTCCACTTACCTCCCCAAAGGGTTCCCCAACTCTGAGGAACAATTTCCAAAACATTCTGATTTTCTAGAGCTTTCCTTGACTTTCTCTTGATATTTCTCAATTAAAGCTAAAATTTCCTTCTTCCTTTTTAGACACAATTGTTTTAAGTGATCTTCCACCAAATTCAGACCAAATGCCCAACCGGGACTTGTTCCTTTCATCTTCCCTGGAAGGTATCCTCTGGGAACTGTGGGGGCTACTAAATCCAGACTATGTGTGGCTACATTTCTTGGGGTTACCAAAATTGTGTTTCCTTTGTGGCTGAACCCAAATTACTGCCACAGCCAATGCCTGACCACTGTACAATGCCACATCCACATGCCCTGTTCACTGACACACTCACACACACACACTCACACACTCACACACACACACACTCACACACACTCACACACACACACACACACACACAGCATTTGGTGTCCACTTTCTCACTGGCATTATCCAACACAGGGTGGAGTTTTCTTGAATCCTATCATCTCTCAGGATCATGGGAGAGCCTGGCACAGATCCTGTCCTGTTGTATAAATACTTCTCTAAGCTGAAGCACACCTTTCTGGAGAGAGGAGGATCATAAGACTCAGAAGGCCCAGAAATCTGACAAAAGTCACACAATTCACAAAATCCTTCCCCAAAGTCATAAAAGTAAAAATCAGTTGCTGGAGAGAAAACTTGTTCTGGGGGAGCTATGGGGGAATCCCAGGGATGCAATTTTCATGAGTTGTCACCCATGCCTAGGGAGTAAAGGGGGTGAGGAAGGGAGGAAGAGGGATGGGGAGGAATATGCCATGACATGAGGGTAGCCCATTGAGGAAGAATTTTGTGAAGAATAGACATCATAGTGGGGCTAGGGAGATGAAACAGTAGGTAAAAGTGCTCACTGTGTAGGCTTGAAGATCTGAGTTCAAACCCCAGAAGCCACATAAAAGCTAGACATGTTAATGTGCATCCGTAATCTAGTAGAGATGTGAATGCCTTTTCACCGCCCATGCTCCTATAATTTACCCCAGTAAACTTAATCCCTGGCTCACCACACTGGACTTCAGCAGTAGCATTTTTTGGTCTACCATCCATGCCCTATCTGGAATGAACAGAAGCTTTCTGAGCCCCCTCAACCCCCAGAGAGTCACATTACACTTTCTCCCTCCTAATTTACCTCACTGCATAGCCCAGGCAAATCTAGAGCTGGAAACATTGCTGCAGTCTGTAAATATTGTTTCCTTCCTAATTGGAAACTCTTGGAGTCATTCCCTGTGTTCTCCCCATGGGAATAATGGAGCAGAGCTTTGATCATCTGAATCTTTGGTGGCCATTTCCTATCCTGTCAACCACAAGTACAATGACATTCACCAGGCATCTTCATGGATGGCATTCACCAGAGATCTTCATGGCCAGCCACTGCATGTCAAGCATTTCACCAATATGGTCCACATAAGTTCTTACAACTCCATATAAGGGGACAAGCACAGGTCACAAGCTAATATTAAGTGCCCAGAGTCTGGGACAGTGACAGTTTCTTTCAGATTCAAAGACTTGTTTTGCTGGACACATCCTGCTCACCCATGCATACTGTACTGTGCAGAGCCCTGGAGATCTGGTGACCATGGGGCCCACAGGCTTGCTCAGTTTAGGAGCTCACCATGCCTCCGGTGCATTCACGACAGTCCTGTAGGCAGCTGACAGTCTCCCAGGTGCTGTAGGCTTTCAGCCCGGCCATCAGAGCCTGTAGGGAGCGTCTGTTGATGAGCTCCCGCCCCTGGAAAATGTCTTCGTCCAGGACAAAGCTTGCATGCCTGTGAAACAAAGCAGAGATGTGAGGTGGGTGAGTGGTGTGTCAAGCCCATGTGGAAGAAGCATGCATGAGCCCCAGTTGCTACTCAAGATCCCCTTCAAAACTGTCACCCTCCACGACTGCTAAATCTGCATCCACCAGTCTCCACCACATCGGCCACCTCTTGCAAAGGGTCTCTTTCACTTCCTGCCCAAGTTTGCCTTTCTGCAGCCAATTCCTAAGCCCCACAGCTAATGCTGGCCTTTGTCTGCGCACCATGCTTATCTCACTTCCTCTCACAGGGTGCGCTCTCACAACATGCACAGGGTCACGTTCCACATTATTCTCTTCTACCTGCTATACAAAATGTTTTGCACACCTTGTGAATTTGTCATTTTTAAAGACCTCCTCTACTGAAAATTCTGCAACAGATTGTATAGTAAGTAGAATAACAGTCTCCAAAGAAGGGCATAGCCATACCTCTGGAATCTATGTCACCTCATATGGAAAAAGGGACTTGGGAGATGTGACTAAATTAGGGTCCTGGGGGAATACAGCTGGACCAATGTGAACACAAGTGTGTATATGAAAAGGGGATAGGGCAGGGCAGGGAAGGGAAGGGCAGGGCAGGGAAGGGCAGTGCAGGGCAGGGAAGGGAAAGGCAGGGCAGGGAAGGGTAGGGAAGGGATGGGAAGGGAAGGGAAGGGAAGGGAAGGGAAGGGAAGGGCAGGGAAGGGAAGGGAAGGGAAGGGCAGGGAAAGGAAGGGAAGGGCAGGGCAGGGAAGGGAAGGGCAGGGAAGGGCAGGGGAGGGAAGGGAAGGGCAGGGCAGGGAAGGGCAGGGGAGGGAAGGGAAGAGAAGGGCAGGGAAGGAAAGGGAAGGGCAGGGAAGGGAAGGGCAGGGAAGGGAAGGGAAGGGCAGGGAAGGGATGGGAAGGGAAGAGAAGGGCAGGGAAGGGAAGGGCAGGGCAGGGATGGGAAGGGCAGGGAAGGGAAGGGCAGGGATGGGCAGGGAAGGGAGGGGAAGGGAAGGGAAGGGATGGGAAGGGAAGGGAAGGGAAGGGAAGGGCAGGGCAGGGAAGGGAAGGGAAGGGCAGGGAAAGGAAGGGAAGGGCAGGGCAGGGAAGGGAAGGGCAGGGAAGGGCAGGGGAGGGAAGGGAAGGGCAGGGCAGGGAAGGGCAGGGGAGGGAAGGGAAGAGAAGGGCAGGGAAGGAAAGGGAAGGGCAGGGAAGGGAAGGGCAGGGAAGGGAAGGGAAGGGCAGGGAAGGGATGGGAAGGGAAGAGAAGGGCAGGGAAGGGAAGGGCAGGGCAGGGATGGGAAGGGCAGGGAAGGGAAGGGCAGGGATGGGCAGGGAAGGGAGGGGAAGGGAAGGGAAGGGAAGGGAAGGGCAGGACAGGGAACTATAAGATTACAACACTGTGCTGTGTTGTGTCACCAAGTCTGTGGATTGCAGTTGTGCCTTCCACAGTTTGACCTAAGTGTGTCCAACTAGGATCTGAAAATATTCAATGGAAGATTCCAAAAATAAATAGGTTGCAAGTTTTAAGCTATACGCCAGTCTGCGCAGCATGTTAAAACCTCACAGCATCTCATTGTGCCTTTCCTGGAACACAAATGATCTCTCACATGTCCACATCATATCCATTCTAGCCACTCACTAGACTCGTAGGAGTCTTAGCTCTGACTGACTGTGGTTCTGTCGAGGCCTGTGCCCGAGCAGCCTTTACCTGGATGCCCGACACTGCCGGTACCTGTATCATTCACCTCCCTTTGCTCACCTCACAGGCACTGCAGTAACTCACATTACAAAAACGGTGGATAAAGTACAATCAGAAGTTTGGAAAGAGAGGTCGACCACACCCACAGAACATCTTTACAATATATAGTCACAATTGTCCAATCTTGTTAGGATTGTGCCAAATGTCTTACATTGCCTAATTTTATAGATTATATAGATTTATTATAGGTATGTATGAAGAAACAGTATACGTTGGGTTTGATATCATCCACGGCTCTAGGCATCCATTGGGTATTGTAATGGATTCCCAGAGATGGGAACTGCTAGACTTACAGAAGTAGATGGAAGCTAACACAAATTATGATTAGCTCCTTCTTCAAAATGTTTTCGCCATGTTCCTTTATTTTTTTAGCTGTCTATGGGTCTGACTTCTATACGATGTCTCTTCTATGTGTCCTCTCACCCCCACAATTCTTCTGCCCTTTCTGTATTTCAAAATGCCATTTCTGAAGAGGGCCAGGCTCTCTCTCTCTCTCTCTCTCTCTCTCTCTCTCTCTCTCTCTCTCTCTCTCTCTCTCTCTCTCTGTCTGTCTGTCTCTGTCTCTGTCTCTGCCTCTCTCTCTCTCCTTTGAATCCTTCACTGGGGTCCCATCTTCAGCCTCTTTTAACAAGTTATCATGTAACTAATGTTTGCTTTAAAGGTTTTCCTGAATTCTTTCTATATTCAGTCAAACTCAAGGACACAGAAAAAGCCCTAGGCATGGGCATTAAAGTCAAGGGTGGCCAACACCAAGTGTGGAACCTCTTTTCAGGATCTAAGACTTACTGGAAATTTACAGACTGGTACACTGAAGTATGGTCCCATGGCCTCCTGTGATGTTGTCATATCCACTTTGGAATATTAACTGGTGTTGTAGTTATTTAGGTCTTGCTTAGGCAGCCATTTTGGAACTCTAAACAAAATGAATTTAAAACTCTTACCTTGAAATTATTTGCTGTTTATGTTAATATTCAGGCATCTCTACTGGCCTGTTCTTGGGGATCTAACAGGATACACCCTCAGCTGCAGCCACTAAGAGTACCATATATTCACTATGTTCCCTTTTAAAAGGGCCCTGCCCATGTCCCATCCCCCCTCCCTCTCGCTCTCCCCCTCTTTCCTCTCTCCTCTCTCCTGCTGCTCCTGTCTCCGGAGGCCAGTGTTGCCCCCCTCCCTTCTCCTTTTTATGATCCCTTTCTCTAATAATAATAATAATAAAACCCTCTGCTTGAGCCATGTCTCCTGGTATCTTCTCTCAGGTGCTGCTTTTTTTTTTCCAAGACAGGGTTTCTCTATATTGTTTTGGAGCCTGTCCTGGAACTCGCTCTGTAGACCAGGCTAGCCTCAAACTCACAGAGATCCGCCTGCCTCTGCCTCCTAAGTGCTGGGATTAAAGCATGAGCCACCAATGCCCGGCCTGCTTTTCTTAAACCCCAACAGTTTATTCCTACATTCTTCATTCCTCCCCTCCCTCTATTCGCATCTTATTCAGTTCCATCCATCATATCCCACCATTAACTTTTTTTTGAGACAGGGTTTCTCTTTGTAACAGCCCTGGCTGTCCTGGAATTAGCTCTATAGACCAGATTGGCCTTGGACTCACAGAGCTCCATCTGCCTCTGCTTCCCAAGTGCTGGGATTAAAGGTGTGTGCCACTGCCCAGCTCCCACCATTAACTTTTAAAAGGGAAATATTTATATACTCTGAAGAGAAAACAGAGATACACAGTTAACTTTTAAACTATGTTCTGGTTTGCTGAGATAAACACCATGACCAAAAAAAGTAACTTAGGGATAAAGGGCTTATTGGGCTCACACTTCCAGATAACAGTCCTTCACCAAGTGAGTCAGAGCAGGAACTCAGAGCAGGAATCCAGAGCGGAAACCCATGGAGGAAGCTGTACACTGGCTCTCTCCTGCTCGTGTCAGCCAGTGTTCTTATACGCAGGACTACCTGCCAAGGATGACACCACCCACAGAGGGCTGGCCTTCCACATCCGTCACCACAGTGCCCCCAGAAGACACCCTCATCTGGGCAATTAACCAGCACACACCACACCATTTTCGGTGATTGTTCTAGGGCTTACAATATGTATTTTGGCTATCTACTTCCTTCATGTAGTGTTGCGTCACTGTGTAGGTGATGCAGGAATGGTTTCCCACACAATGTGCTTCCATTTCATTTTCCCATCCATTGTGTTATCAATGTTTATAAATGAAGGAGGAGGGATAGAAATGTACCATATACAGAGAGGAACAACTACACATGCTATACGCTTCATTACTAGTTTCATCCTAAGGTTTTCCCTTATGAACATTATTGAAGAATAACTTAGTATTCATTCACAGCATACAGATTTGATGGCTATACATTCTCATGAGACTATCAGTCCACAAAACATTTTCAATAGCACCCCAAAATTACCCCTCATGCTTTTACAGCCTACCCTTCCCTCCAGTCGCACCCCAGCAGGTCACCATGGACATGCTCTTTGCCGCTCAGAATAGACTTACTTACAGTAGGACTGTACAGTATGTGCTGTGCCTTCCTTGTCTCAACTATTGTGTTTGGTTGAGATTCATCCTTGTTACAGCACTTATTAGTCACTGTTATTTTCTCCTGCCAATAAGTATTCCATTTTATGGAGTGTATATACTATACTTCAGTTGTATATTTGCTTGTTTATTGAACATTTCATTTACTTCCTGTTTGGAACTATTACAGATAAAATTTCTATGAAAATGTTCATCTTGAAGGAGGCACATGACTTCTTTTCTCTTAAGTAAATATGTAGCAATGAAATGGCTGGTAGTGTTGGGGGCAGAGACAAGCAGATCCCGGGGATTGCTGCCCAGCCTGCCCAGCCCAAACAGTGAGCTTCCCATTCAGTGGGAGACTTTGTTTCAAGTAAATAAAGTAGACAGAGATGGAAGAAGTCACCCAATGTGTTCCTCTGGCCTCTGCATTTAAACATACACACACCCCAAACCTCTGCTCTGTTAAGTTATCTTGAGATGCTGAGTCAGTACACGTGAAATCTTAAAGGCTTGCTATACTATACACACTTGAATATGTACTAGTAGTTACCTGAAATTTATCCTCCCAGGTGTTGTGTGGAAAAAGTCTCTAAAGAATGACTGAATCTAGCTGAAAGACAGATATATGAGCATCTCTACCTCCTTCCCTCTACCCTGGTCTGGTACCCAGTCCAGAATGCTTGAGATGCCCATTGGCCAGGAGTATAAAAAGAGGCAGACCAAACAATCCTCTGAGCTGGGCACTGTGAATAGCATTTTTTTTTTGTTTTTTACGAGACAGAGTCTCTCTGTATTGTTTTGGAGACTGTTGGTCCAGCTCGGCCTCGAACTCACAGAGATCCGCCTGCCTCTGCCTCCCGAGTGCTGGGATTAAAGGCGTGTGCCACCACCGCCCGGCGTGAATGGCATTTTTAAAAGGTGTTAGTTATTTTCTCAGCTAGGAGATTTCTTTCTATAGCAAAGCTCTCTAGATGGTTCCAAAGGGAGGTGTTACTTACCAGCTTCCCTGGGAAGTAACTTTTGAACTTCACAACATGAAATCCAGGTCCACACACTATCAGGACAGTTTAAATGCAAAACTCTAAGCAACTCCTTGGTCAAATGCGATGCCGCCGAACAAGGTAATTTCATCTCCTTAGTTTAATTAACCTATGCAGAGCCAGGCATCCTGAGATAGGAAGATGCCAAATTACAGACCTTCAACTTCAACCAAGAATGATGGTGGAATGATGGAGTGGACTAGGCCATCCCTTATTCCAGGAAGTGGCTTGGAAGCGCCTTGTCTAAGAAGACTGTCCTAGTGAGGGAAGACAAGAGTGTGAGCGACAGGTGCTACAGGTGCATCAAGTACACCTCTAGGAGGAACCCAATGGGAAGAGTGCGAGCTCAGGACCTGAGCTTGGACTCCAGAGGTAGAGGCCAACAGAGGAGAGACATGGACAGATGGACAAGGCCCTGCAAGGCCACACAAAGGAGCTGGAGCTTCCCCAGAGTAGAAGATAATTGAGGGTCCCAATGGGAACTCGGCTATGTTTCAGGCAAGAGATGGTGAATCTGAAGAGGTCTAGGTTGGAGATGAATGGAAAGAGAGGGGAACCAAGAGGGACAGGTGGGATGACAGGTGAAGGAAGTCAAACTGTCAGGAGGTGAGATTGGCGGGATGGGGGATCGAAGGCTTACAGACTATGTACCACATCTTCCCTATCTATTCTCCAGCAGATTTACAATAAGGTTGACTCCACAACCATGACTAATGCTGGCACAAACTTGGATACTCAGATGAATAAAAGAGGAGTGCTTGAGGAATCTTGCGGGTAATGGCCACAACAACCAACATCATTGAGCATCCACTACTTTGCTCTGAGCACATCCAGATCTTCACACATTTGATCTTTACAAAAAGCCCTAGTCAGGTTTAATACTACTATTTTGAATGTGGAGAAATTGAAGCAGAATTCCAAGTCACACAAGTAGCAAATGGTGGGATCAAGTTATATAACCCAAGGGAAGTTCATCCCATCTCACCTCTGCTGTTGCCTTTCTGCTGATGGCTTGTGATTCCATCACAAGACACAGGGGACAGGCAGGGTCAGCTGACTCTGGCTGCAGAGCTGTTTTTCCTGCTCACTGACTCCTGGCTTGTGTACCTAAACCTCTGGCCCACGCCCCTGTTTGAGTAGAACCCAAAGTCCTGAGTATTTCACCAGCTGAGCCTCAGGTTACCCAGCGCCTGAGACCTGAAGCCAGCTAGCAGCAGCATGCATCCATAAAAGTTGGGAGACAAGTCTCATGGCCAGGTTTGATAACCTGTATGGAGAAGTAAAACAAAAAGAGGAGGAGGGGAGAGGTCAGCACAAATTTTGGCCATGCTGCAACAAACTGGACTGGTTGCTTCCTTAGAAGCTGAAGGGAGGGGAAGCCTCTGAGGTTGAACTCTGACCTCCTCATGCACACAGCAAACAGGCAATAGTGAATAATTTAGAGGGCCATGGAGCAATTGGATTGGTGATTTGTTCAACAACACAGCACTGCACATGTCACACAATAACGGCTGTGTGATCTGGTATTAATTAGCGTCAATCACTTGTCATTTCTCACCTTGAAACCCAAAGCTGGAACAGTGGCCTCTCTCAACTGGAGCAAACCAAACCAAGCTACAGGAATAGAAAATTGGAATATGTGTTGTCTCAGCTATGGGGAAGTAGGGTACAACTTCAAGGGACCCAGAAAGCTTCCCAGGGTGATGAAAATGTTTGCTACACAGCTGTTCATATTTGCCCAAACTCACTCAATGGTACACTACAACTTGTGTGTTTTACTCTATCTAAACTGAACCTCAGAAATAGAGTTGAGCAGGAAGTTTAGTGGAATCTCAGCAGCCTAAGGTTAATCTTATGTTAGCTTTTGTCAACTTGGCACAAATACAGTCAGCTAGGAAAAGGGATTACCCTCATCCAATTGGCCTGTAAGCAAGTCTGTGGCCATTTTTTTGATTGATGGTGGATGTGGGAAGGCCCAGCCCACTGTGGGCGATGCCACTCCTAGGCAGGTGGTCCAGAGCTGTATGAGAAAGCAGGCTGAGCACTCAGGGGAAGCAAGCCAGTAAGCAGCTCTCCTCTATGATTCTTCCCAGGCGTCCCTCAATATAGAAGTGTGAGGCAAATGAACTCTTCCCTCCCCAGTTTGCTTTTGCTTAGTGTTTTATCACAGCATCAGAGTAGCACACGAGGACACCCTGGTACTAGAAAAAAATTCAGAACATTTTAAGTAACAGGTGTTGGGTGTGAGTGATTTCTATTTTTTCTCAGGTAGCTTGTTTTTCCTTCCACAGTATTCAATCTTGGTACTCCCTGGAATCCTGGACTCCCACTTCCTGCCTTATGTTTATCAGAAGACCTCCGAGGCAGGCCCAAGGACTGTGGCACCCCACAGGTCAGCAGCACATCAGACATAGCAGGGTTTCTCTGACAACCATCATCTTACAAATCCCAGCACACACTTCCTCATCAGTGTGTACATTTTCCAACAAGTGTGGGGCTGTAAGTTATCCAGAAACCCACTGCAGCAACCCCACTGAGAAGCAGAATTAGCATGTTAGAGAAAAAAGAACACAAGAGAAGGAAGGGTTTAAAGTTTGATGTTCTCTTCCCAGTCCACATCCTCCTGGGTCTTGTGATCTTAGGCAAACCTCAGTTTCTCATCTTTAGGATGTAGGGGTGACAATAACACAAAACACACAACCCAGGCCCTGCCCAAGTCCTGGGAGACAGAGCATCTGAAGGCACCCATTTGTCAAGCTGATGGTAAGGGCTGCAGAGGCTCAGCAGTTGAGAGCACTTGTTGCTCTTTCAGAGGACCCGGGTTTGGTTCCAGTACCCATAGGATAGTCCAGCACATCTGTAACACCAGTCCTGGTATCGGATGCCCTCCTTTGCCCCTCATCAGGTGCCAGGCATGCATGTTGTACACATACATACATGCAGGTAAAACTCATACACATAAAATAAATGAATCTAAAATAAAAGTTTAAAAGCCTGTGAAGGTGACTGTGCACGTGCAGTTACAGTACCATTTCCACTGTTTCATTCAGTTCCCTGACTCTTCCCCCAACACACACTCAGCACACACAGCACACACTTGGCACACACTCAGCACACAGCACACACTCGGCACACCCACACCTTTATTTAGTTTTCAAAGCTTTATTGTCCATTTAAAAACTTTATCAGAAGTTAGAGGTATTTAAACTGTTCAAATCTGTTGCTTTTTTTAAATCATTTTTTATTTTCTCTTATGTGACTGTTTTGCCTGCATTCATGTCTATGCACCATGCAAGTGTCTTGTGACCACCGAGGCCAGAAGAGGGCATTAGATCCCCTGAGACTGGTATTACAGATGGTTATGAGCCACCATGTGAGTGCTGGGAATCAAACCGGGCTCCTCTGGAAAATCAGCCACACTCTTAACTGCTGGGCCATCTCTACAGTTTCAATATCTGTAGACAAGCGTCAATTGAAATCTTCTTGAATTCTTGGCAGGTTCCACTCTTCTGGACACTCAGTCACGTTTGGGGTTTCACCTTGAACCTGGGCATCACATTTTCCCCACAGGCCCTTTCCTGCTCATGGTTAGAAAATAAGCCTTGTGCTCTACCTACAAAATGGCTTCCCCAGGATGAAGCATCCGCAGAGGCTTCTCACCTGCTGGTGAAGGTCAGGGCCAGGGTGGTGGCCAGGTGAGACATCAGCCTGAGTGTCTGCATTTGGTGCTCGATGATCTTCACCTCTTCTTTGCCCTTGGGCCCAAACTGCCTTCGGCTAGAGAAAACAAACAAACACAATATTTACCAAAAGGCAGTAAGTAGGTGACTTCATTTTCACAGCTGCAAGTGGCTGCCAGACAGTGATGTTTCAAATGCTTTAGGATACATAAACCAAAGTCTCCTAAAATGTGGTTAAGAAAGGCCAGGCTTCTGAGGAAAGCCCAAAGAAAGCTTTTTAGCTTTCCTAGAAATGAATCTTCCCACCACGGGATCCTTGTAAGGCAATAGATCTATCTACTACATGGAGCAATTTGTACTCCTTAACATTTACATGACATCTTAGAGCTTCAAGTGCCCCATGATCATTAATTATTCCGCTTTACTAGGCTTGTGACATAATTAATAGGATGGGAGCCGAAGCTTACAACATATTTCAAATGGACATTCTCAACAAGGAGGGTGGCGGCGGCTTCCATGATCCTGTCGGATGCACAGGCTGATCATTACGCTCAGTCCTCCTAAGCCCCCTGCAGTTCTGCATGGAATAGTACTTCATACATCCTGAAGCCCCTGTGTCTTGTTAGAGTGGCTACAGGGCACTTGGGGGCAGAGACATCTCATGTCTTTCCTCAATGCAATTCCTGGGACTGTCCCTGCAGCGATGCCCATGGGCAAACCCTGGTGCAGCCCTATACTCTGTGACGCAGGGTCAGTGACATTCTATTTTTAAATAGCCATGAGCTTAGTTTTAATTTTTTTAAAAGCAACATTTTACATAAACACTGTCATGTACACACACACACACACACACACACACACACACACACACACACACGTACATTCATCATCAAACACCCAAAGCAAGTCTGTGTTGTGGACACAACTGAGCCAAGAATACCCACACACGTAAGGGCAAATTTGTTTCCACCTGCATGTGGGTCACAACACCTTTGGGGGGGCCTCATAGCAGATATCCTCCATGTCACATATTTACATTATGATTCATAACAGTAGCAAAATCACAGCTATGAAGCAACAACAAAAGTAATTTTATGGTTGGCATCACCACAACATAAGGAACTGTACAAAAGGGTCGCAGCACTAGGAAGGTTGAGAACCATTGGCATAAGGCATCTAGAAGTCACAACCTGGCTGTGCCACACAGGTGGGCGGGGAGGAGGCAAACAAAGCCAAGCCTACACAGGGGCAGAGAGGGCAGACATCCCTGGGCAGAGTTTGACCTCTCCAGATGGTTGTCCCGGAAACAGTCTCATCCCCCGCCCTTAGTCCATGCTCTTTCTTCAGCATCGTCTCCACCCAACCACAGCAGGGCGTGGTCTCAAATGAGAGGTTGAGCAGCATGCAGGACAACCTTTCTGCTTCAACTGGATCATGATGAGACCAAAAACGGAAAGGAAAAGAAATTGCATTTTCAATAATGGTGTCATCGTAATGCTAGGTTATTGCTATGGACTGAATTGTGTCCCCACAAAATTCATATGTTGAAGCCCTAATTCCCAAGTGACTGTGTGGAGATAGGGCTTTTAGGAAGTAATTAAGGTTAAATGAAATCATAAGGGTGTGGTGCTAATCTGATTTACCCAGCAAACCCTCCTTCAACTCCTTGTGTTGAAGGAGGGTCAGGTGAGGACACGCAAGAAGGCAGATCAGGAAGGCAAACCACACACACTGAATCTGCCAGTTCTTGGACCTTGGCATTCCCACTTCCAGAACCACAAGACATAAATATCTGTTGTTTAAGTCTATTGTGTTTTTGTCATAGCGGCAGAAATGGTTTCATGCAGTTACTTAAAATGTCCTATTTGTCCCCACCCTCTTGAGTTTTACTTTTAAGTTTTATAATTATACTGTAGCTTTATTTATAATTATTCAAGCCAAAATCTAATCTACACTAGACATGGCCATATACAACATACTCCTCTGAGAGGCAGCTCTGTCTGACCTGTGCCACAAGCAGATTAGGTTATGGACATCTACAATGTCCAAGGTCAAGTCCCAAACATGAAGTTCACAGCCCAGATCACAGAGAAGACCTAGACAGAGTGACCCAACCTTCCATCCCTGTCAATCACCAGTATTTCATCATGGATTTCCAAAATATCATTCAGAGTAGTTTAGCCACACAGAGGTGGCAAAGGAAATAATCAATAACAACATCTGTTAGATCTTGATTTGTTGAAAAGTAATGATATCTACACAATTTTAAACAGCATTCTACCAAAGTTTCTGTTTCTTCATGCAAGTCTTTGTTTTGACACAGCACAGAGCAGATGCATGATAATGAATGAATAGATTTATCAATGAAGAAACACAGGCAAATATGGCAGAGTAGTCTGATCAAGACCTCAGGGAAGGTTTTTGGATGCTAGATCAGTGTGGTGGTTAGCAGTGGTTGTCAACTTGACAGGTCTAGGAGACCAGCCTCTGGGCAAGCCTGTGAGGGATTCTCTGATGAGGTTTACTGAGGTGGGGAGTCCCACCCTGCATGTGGGCACCATTCCAAGGGCTGGGGTCCTTTATCACTTCCTTCTTCCATACTACAAAAACAATGTGACCAGCTTCCTCACACTCCTGCTGCCACGCCTTCCTCACCATGATGGACTGCTGCTTAAACTGTAACCTAAGATAAATCCTTTCTTCCTTCAGTTGCTTCCCCCCACCACTCCAGGGTGTTTTATCACAGCAACAGAAAACAAAAAACAGTTCCCCAGTATAGGCAAAATTTGTGATGGTCCCATTTCCTCTTTGACCCTCATAGTTCAATTATGGCAATAGGTGCAGGCCAGAGAGACCACCAGGAGTCCGTCCACACAGCATTATCTCAGAGTGTATCTCATCATATGAACGGGATTCTAGGTAGTTTCATAAACTTGAGAGATTTCACTAGAGTATGTGCATTTCCAACCTTCCTTGCAAAATAGGATGATCCAGCAGCTGTGGAGTCTACTCTTATGATGAGTTATGCTGGGCCTTAGGGCCACCAAACTGTTTGCTCCAGGCATAGTAATCTCTGCTCTCTAAGCCACCAGAACTCCATCCACTCACCAAGTTTAGCTGATGGCTCAGAAGGCACTGGTTTTCTAGCCCCATTGTCTTAGTCAAAGTTCTATAGCTGTGAAGAGATACCATGACCATGGCAACTCTTATAAAAGAAAGCATTTAATTAGGGCTGTCTGTCTAACATTCAGAGGTTTAGTCCATCATGATGATAATAGGAAACACAGCCACATAAGGCACACATGGTGCTGAAGGCAGCCGAGAATTTCTACATCTCAGCAGGCAGCAGAAAGAGAGTAAGCCACTGGGTCTGGCTTGAGCTTCTGGAACCTCTAAGTCTGCCTCTAGTGACACACTTCCTCCAACAAGGCCACACCTACTCCAACAAAGCCACATATCCTAACCCTTTCAAATAGAGCCACTCCCCAGGAACCTACAGGAGCCATTTTCATTCAAACAACCACACTCATCATGGTGGGGTTCTTTTCTTCAGCAATAATAACCACCTCCTAACCTGTTGATTAGTTCTGAGACATCATAGCCCCACACAGGCATTCTACAGGCATTTAAAATACAGCAGCCAAATGGTTGGGAATCCAATCCAAATGCCTCTGCCTGGCATCTAGGAGCCCACTTGGGCTTTGCTTGAACCCTTCCCATCTGAGGCCTCTGTCCATGCAGGGTTCACTGCCTCCACCAGCCTCAAGCCCAACTGTTATATACATAGCTGGCTTCACTTATAGCTCAGCCACACATTCTCTCCTGACATGGAGACTTGTCTGATATTTCTCCCTCTCTCTAATCCGTTCCTTCAAAAACCCAAACCGAACCAAACCAATCAAAACAAAGTGGTTTCTCCTTAGAATGCCATAAGTATTGTCTCTGTGGTGCCCCCATTACCAGCGCCTCTCTCTTTCAGTCTCTATTGATGGCTGCTGATGCTTCTCCACCCAGAGCCTTGCTTCCTGGTCCTGGAGTGTGAGCCCCATCTCTCAGGGTGAGCTCATTCCTAAAGATAGCAAATGATGACCCTATGAATGCATCATCCAAATGTAAGCTAACAAATCCAGAAGCCTCAATACCTCCTTCATAAGGCTATCACAATGTAGGCCACTGGTGTCCAGCACAAGCCATCCTAGGTGACACCCAGGGCAGGGTGTCAGACAACTGAGGAGAACCCCAAGCTATCAGAGCCCTAGTATCCAACAAGTCAATCCTAGTCTGCTTATCTGCTTAGTCTACGTAGCCTGCATGGCCCATCCTTTCCTTTGGCATCCTCCACCTCCTCAACGAAACTAGTGTTTCCCTGTGTGGCCCTGGTGGGTAGATTCCCCTAAAGATGGTGATTTCCTGACCAGCCGGCTTCCACACATCTGAAAGCCAGAATAACCTGCATGTTCACAGTCTCTGCCATCAGCCTCATAGCTCACACCTGCTCATTTTTATGTGCCCCAGCCTGGCCTAGAACAAGAACTCTCAGGAAAGAAAGAGAAAGAGTGGGGGAGGGAGGGAGGAGGGAGGAAGGAGAGAGAGAAAGAAGGAAAGAAAGAGCGAATGAATGGAGGGTACACTGGATACCCCACTATCGCAGAAGCTGTACTCAGCTTCCCATCTGTCACCCCACTTTTTCCTGAAATGTTTGCTTATCCGCAGTTGTTATGAACAAAGAAGTAACTCTGACAGTGGAGCATTGAGAGTAGCAGGAGACAGGGCAGGAATTACTGAGAAAGAGAAAGCAGAACAGAGGAAGCAAGTCCCTGTAATGCCAACAGCCCTACCCTGGCTTTCTTATAGGAGAACAGAAAGAGATCAGTGAATGGGCATACGCCCACTCCTTCCCTCTGGCCTCAGGTGCCGACAGTCTCCAAAGCATTGAACAGGAGTGTCTATTGGCTCCTTACCTATCTGATGTTCTATCTGGCTTTAGAGGTGGGAATGTAACACCAAAGATTAGAGTCTTCTGCTCAGAGATGCCAATAGAGCTCAGCCCTAGGACTGCCACTCTTAGCCCCAAACTGGTTGCCTGGCTGCAAGAGA